ATTAAGATCGGGGCTGGATGGTGGCCACATATCCTTCGCCCAGAACGGAACATGTTCCTGAAACCACTTCTGAGTGCGGTTCAAGGTGTGGCACGGAGCCCCATCATGTTGAAATACAACATTTTGCTTCGGACCTTACTGTTCTTTGATCCACGGAAGAACATACTTACTTAAAATCCCGATGTAGACCTCCGTGTTGACCTTGTCGCCTTCTGGAATGAACACCGGGTCATTTTTTTTGCCATTGGAAGCCACCAATCCAAACACCATAACGCTAGCAGGATGCTTGGTCAGATACACGTTCTTGTGCTCGTCGGCCACGTCTTTTACCGGACGAGAACTAATATACCGGTCGGTTCTGGAATTTGATACGGGATCGACGGTAAACATGCTCTCGTCGATGAACAGGATTACCGGATTTTTTTCGCTTAAGGAAGTTCAAGATTTTCTTGCATCGTTCGACTCGTAGCTCCCGGATGCGGTTGGTAATCATGTGAGTTTTTTTTCCGTACCCTCGACTTCGCCCCACAATCTTTCTTTACGATCTTCCGTACCGTAAAGTCACTGATCCCGTGTTCCTTTGCCATTTTTCATATTGAACGCACTGGATTCACCCGAATCATCCTTTTGATAGCAGCGATAACCCTCGGAACCCGAGGTGACCTCGGACGACCTGTGGCCACCTTCGCGGATAGTTTTCATTTCTTTTCTCGGTCTAAAACCCTTTTGACGGTCCACCGTGACACTCCCACGGCGATTGAAATGTCTTTCTGCGAAATTTACGCGTGGGACATGGTGGAGGGATTTCCCGCCGGAGAGATAAAAGTAGGTTCGTCCGGAAACTGCACAGTGTAAAGTCCATGTTGTGCGTGGTCGAACAATAGACATCCGTTGCGGTTCCGCTGGTAGTTCTGCCAAGCTTCATGGCGGGCATTCAGATCGCCCTCAACGATTAATCGGGCTAGTACGGGTGATGGCTAGTGATTCCTAGTCCGTTGCTTGCGGTACACTGTCATGGGCAGTAAACAGCGATAAACCGGACGTTTCCAGTTGGTGATTCCACCTCCACACTAACGGCCTCGATGATAGAAGTGCGGACGTGGGGCAGAGTGCAGAACTTGATTCCCTTTCTGACGATGACCGCTACACTACCCCCTGGAGCTGGTGCGATCAAGCCGGATAATGTTGTGGTCAGGCAACCAGAAGTTGTCGCCGGACTTTAGATGGGTCTCGGTTAGAAAGCCCACGTCGATGCTGTGCTTGCGGAGGAAGTCTGCAAGCTCAATCTGTTTTGCTTTTACAGAGCAAGCGTACCAGGTTGCGATGATTTGCGGTTTAGACACCATACTGGATGATGAACTTACCGAGCACTTAGATCTGTTCGAACTTATTCCGGCACTTGGCACATCAGTTCATCCGGTGAGAACAGATTGGGATTATTTGTTTGAGCTGTTGGTTGTCTCCAGAATCGAGAGGGGATGGAGAGTTTTGTCCAGCAGAAGATCCAGACGTTTCTTAAGGGGGGAAAAGGAGGGATCGCACCCGTGAATTCGCTTATCCATGAAGAGTAGGAAAGTTCTCCACCCTCCGGGGCCTTATCCTTCCTTCGTCCCGGTTGATTGTTGGTGGACGCCTGTTTTCGGATGCGCTTGAAATCCTCGCGTTTAGGGCACTGCTTGTCGCACCACCACAGTTGGACGCCACAGATTCATCCGCAGCACATTCGGAGGTGGCGTGGTCTTGAGCGCAATTACCGCAGCGTGGTTTAATGTTGCAGCTACGGGTGCCGTGACCAAAGTTCAGATACCGTTAGCACTCCCAGCTGACGATGATGGAATTGATGGAGCGGATGGCTTTCAACGCGTTGAGCATCACCGTTCCTTTCTGGAAGTGAACCAGGAAAATGCCTTACCGGATACGCCTTAACATGGCACTTGGGGTCAGATTGTACCGGTCCCTGATTTCAGCCTCGATAAACTTCGGGTCGAAGTTTGGTAGGCCCCTGATGACGATCTTGAATGGCTTCTCACCGGGAATGTCGTGTGTGAAGAATTCCACCTTGGAAGTCCTCAGGTGGGCGACGACCAAGTCATGCTCCACTTTGGTACGGAGCACCACCTTGGTGCCGACTCTACCCAACTTTTATTTGGCTTTAACGCCCAGCGTCGCTAGATCCGCGATGAGCTCATTAACATGGGCGTTTTTTTTTAGGAAGCTTCCCTTTTGCCACACTCGAGCCGGCAAAATCACCGGTGTTGCTGACGTTCGTCGCGGTGACATCGTCACGTCCACTCGCACCATCGGACTGGCCTTGGTTTTTCTTCCTCTTCTTCGATCGCTTCACCGTGACGGAGGTGGTATTCCCAACATCGGTGGGAAGAGTAGCGTACCTATTTTAAATAGGTACACTCGTGCTACCCTCACCACTGTTCTTCTCCGCATTCTCACGGAGCCTGCTCCGGGAGTGCTGTCTTCTCATCACACGATGCGACGCGAATAAACGTTTGGAACTAACTATCGAACAACTCGACAGAGCGAGCAAAAACCAAACTGAACTGCTTGACGGACAAGCAGAAAATGCGGTCAAAATATGTATGGTACTTCTATCTATGCATTTTGATTAAAATCTCAAGACTCATTTTTTTTACATATTCTGCACAAAAAATACATCCAAGGTCCCTCCTTTTTTAAATATTCTGCACATCGTGCACATCGTAAGCCCCGCCCCTAATAGGATTTTCTGCCGTTTTGTATGTATGGGGCGGGGCAGAAAATATCTTTTGTGGGACTTCGGATGTTAATCTAAATGCAGACATGTTTTGCAGTGTCAGGTACTCTATTTTGTAGCCTGTGAGAGGGAAATCACAAATAGAGTGTCATCAAAATACATGGCATTTTGAGAAATAGAACTAGTGAGAGCAAATTTTCTCTCTCCAATTTGAATGTTTTGGCTCTCTGGGGACTGGTAGTAAAGCTGGTAAAACTGTATGGGGATAAATAATTTTTATTTAATTGTAGTTTGTTTAATAATAATTTCCGGGAAAAAACTGAACGACAAAGTCCCTGACTAATTTCTTTAGGTTGTCGTTCACTTTTGTTTTACCTGAATATGCACCGAAAGCTAATTATTCCCACTTCTCTCAATTTATATATGGGGATTTTTTATCACTCCCTACCAGCGGAACAGCGCCATCTCTGTGGAAAATGGCCAGACGATATCATTAATTCCTATTCATTTTTTTTTTGTTAATTCGTTTATTTGTACAGGCTCAGTCGAATAAACTTTACAGAGGCGCTATATTATTTTTGTTCTACAATAAGAATCTTAAAACTAGAGTTAAGGGGGTTTAACCGATTACTCTATTCAATATCTCTTGGCATTCCATAACTACCCACATTTCACTTGAAATTATTCACAGAATTTCTTAGCAATTATGTTTAAATAATCATTTGAATTTTCTCTAGAGCCTTTCTGATTTGATTAAATTGAAGCCCAAACTCAGACATGAACTAGCCGATGGCTGAAAATCTCTTTAATGAAGAAAGACAAAAAAATTTCTCAGATTTTTTTTCCTCAGTATTCCCTTGGGATTCTTCTGAGCATTTACCAGAAATCAAGAGGTCATTAGAAATACTTTAGAAACAATCCTTAAATTTCGTTTGAAGTTCACTTCACAACTACTTTTGAATTTTCCCCAAAACTAAATTGGAATTCCTGTCAGAACTCTCTTTGAATACTCCCAAGAATTTCCTCATCGAAATGCCAGAATCATGAATGTTTTCGTCAAGTCCCAATAGACGAACCAGCCCACGGCTGTAAGTCTCATTAATGAAGGTAACCCAACTTAACCCAACCTAACCCAACATAACATCTTCAAGCCCAAGAACCTTGACAATTTTTCGAGATCCATTATTTTGATATTTATTATCTTGGAAAATTTTCATAGTCCGACATCCTTAATAATTGTAGAATAGTTGTATTATTTGGGTTATCGTTCGTTTATTATATTTGCTTATTAGGGATATGAATCTTGAAAATTTCTTCAAGTTTGGATTATTCTTTTTTACGGTGCAGAACTTTTGTATTATATTGTTCGTATTCCAGAAATTGACTCTGGATTAAGACATATTTCCTTAGTCTCACAGCCTTGAAGATTCTTGAGTCAGCAATCTTAATAATGTGTCTCGGATCTCAATTAATTTGCAATTTCATCGTTCATTCCTTACGGAAAAGAGCTTAGTTCAGAATTCACATGTGCTAGATATGATCATCTTCATCCAATTTTTTTTTGTGTGTTAATTGCTTTATTTCGAATAAAGTTTACAGAGCCAAGTTATCATTCGCGTTATACCTTATTAATGTCTTAACTAAAGTTAAAGGAATTGAACCGAATACTCGCAGCCGTATCAATTTTATGTAGGGAAAAGGGAGAAGGAGGTTTGAAATGTGGTACGCTATAATTAACTTCAATAACTTAATCAATTCATGTTTCGAGCCTACCTAATCCACTGTCGATTATGTCGATGACATCATCATTTCACATTCCAAAACCATAAACATTCAAGGTTAATAAGCTCAACCAAACACATCATACTCAAACAACTCCACACACCAATTGCACTTGAAAACAAGATTCCCACAATTAGCCGAACAATGTTTTCGAGCACACTCTTAGTCAACAATGATTCGCCATCAGGCCGTCGCCGTGGCATAATTGGATTCACTGATCGATTCCATCAGTACGCGGTGGTTAATCTTCAATGGCTCACAATTACTGCCGTCCCACCATTCATCATCTCTCTCATCGGTTTCAATATTGCCTCTACATGTGACCACTTTGCTTTCGCCGACTTACATGCCGGCAATTGATTTTCAGCACCTCACTCCGGGCCGGAATGGCCGATAAATGAAAACAATTCGAGCTGGTCATTATTTTCTTCACACCTCACCGGCAAACCCATTCTCACGGTTCTTCTGTTTCTCTGTCTCTTGCACACAGGTTGAACACGGTGGTGCCCAACCCAAAGCCCGATGTCCCCAGCGAAGCCATCATGTGGCACCTGGTCAAGCTGTTTAGCAATCCGCATGAGTCCGGCCTGAAGCAACGTTGCACCAAACTGGCCCAGGCAATCGGAACCTGGCAGCCAACGCTCCGGGACGCCCTGATAGCACGCCGAAAGCAACTGGATCAAGCGATCGAAGGACTGGGCGTTCATGGGCTTACCGCTGATAACAGCGGATCGCTCATCTCGCTGCATGTAGCATTGAAGAATGAACTGCAGCGCCACATCGAGACCTACAAAACGGCAATCCACAAGCTGGAGGAACTCAGCCCTGTGACGGTGAACCCGGATCCTGCCCAATCTTCCCACCAACGCCTGCTGGCCATCAGCCACGGGGACATCCAGCAGAGACTGATCGACAACAAGACCCTACTTACCATGCTGGACAAACCGGCGCTGAAGCAACTCGCCCTGTTGGTCGAGAACCTATCACAGCGGGTTCAGAGCGACAAGGAGGCGCTATTCTGCGTGGGACAAATCCGGCGAATCGATACCTCAGCAAATACGGAGGAGAGGTAAATTCGAATTAAAAAACCCTGACTGAATTGGTTCAATGTGTTTGTCGATTAACAAGCAATCGTAGACGGTGGCGGCGCGTGCATGTTCGCCTTGCGCTCACATTAATTAGTCTCGATCATCTTAGATCTCAGATTTAATGTTCTTTCTCATTGACTTCGACCGACATTGCTAAGTAATTAACCGCTTTTATTGTGTGCTTTATTTCTTTTATGCTACTTTGATCTTATTTTTCTTTTTCCTTCATCCACCTGCCTTACGTTTGCACCCATCCAGACCTGCAGCTGGCCTGCTGATGAACTACTCCCGCGGTTGCGAGGCTGTCCTGGGAGTGATGGGACCCCTATCGGCTCCAAGCAGCCCCACGAGTAATGGCTGTGGCAGCGGGAGCGATGGTTACCACTCCGACTCCGATACCGATGAAACTAAGTATTTAACCTAGAATCTGGCGCGAAACTACGTTCGCTCTTGCTGCTCTCATTCCCACCCACTCCCCCATCGATTTGCACATTCACTCTGCGCAGAGGGGGGAGACAAGGGCGGGTCTGAGGGTCGTTTCATCATCCATCATTCCAAACGAGCCCCCGATGCCCGATTGACTAATCAAGCGTTGCAAATTTTCCATTTTCTTTCCCTTTCTTCATCTGTGATTACCTGCGATTGCAACCCGGTGGACAATTTTGCCATGGTCTAGTTCCGAACTGGTGCGACAGTATGGTTTAATGTACAGCAAGAACCGCATCGATACGTTGGATTCGCTCAACAGTCTGCCGCAGCTGAAGCACGCCCACCAGCTCAAGGCCAAGATACTGTTTTCGATCATTGTGGTAAGATATCGGCTTCTGGGGCGTGGGTTTGGGTTTCGGAGAAAGGAAAACGGGTTTGTTATTGCTAAAGCAGCAGGTGCGTCAAGCAAGGTATGATATCCAATGGTCAGTCTTATGTTACTAGTTTTAGTTTAAGGCGAAAGTGGATGAGCTTACAGTGACTAACTGATTTAAAAAAAAAGCATTGTAAAGGAAACATTCTAAATTTACTATCGCTAGGTTTTTTTTAAAGCTTTAGCTTTAGCTTTGGTTAGTTCATCTCATTGCGATCTCTAGGAATTTTAACAAGTTTATTGTCTTTTCTTAATCTTCCGGTGATCAATTTCAAGTGTTCAAAATTTGATGTGAAAATTAAAGAGAACGTCTACTTTTCTCATCCTAATCATAGGTATTTAGTATGAAAATCAATGAGTTTTAGCCTGAAGATCATTTCCCTATACAGCAACACACTTCTTTCTATTGCAACAAGAAATCTTAGTATTAATTTCCCCAGTAATCAACTGGGTATGAATATTTAGTTTAGGGTGCTAATGATTTTTTTAGGCGGTCCATTGCCTTGAAAAAAGCCCCTATGAAAAATGTGGGCTTAATCGGCCCAAATGTCTTAAAAATGCATGAAACGTTGAGATTTAGTTTAAACCCGGATTTTTTTTTGTCTAAAAACAACTTTCTAAAACTTAGAAAAATTTCAGAAATTGTTTTTTTTTTCAAAAGCCGGATGACTTAGAAATGTATGAAACGTCGATATCTAGTGTTAGCTCGACATTTTTTATTCCGGCAAAAGTCATCTTTCTGCACCAGATTTTTTTTAAATTCCACCAAAATAAAAATACAAAGTAATTTTTGGACAAAATAGTTTTTGACGTAGAACTACGTCTTTGTCGACTATACTGGGGTGTAAATCAAAAAATATGTGTGCTGAAATAGTGTTAGGTTTTGAACGCTTGTAACTTTGTCATTTATAGATGAAATTAAAATCCAAACATTTCAATCGATAGGATATTACATTACAAATCTGTTGAAATACAATTTTCTATAAAAAAAAAAAAACTTTTGAAAAATGTACAAATGTTTTCATGAAATAAAAGTTCGGTGCTCGTTGAAAAGTACGTTTGATTGAACAATGTTTCACGTCTGTTATGACTCAAATTGATGTCAAAATTGACGCTCGTATGTGTCACTCTCAGAGCACCTAAATTTACATGATTTTTTTCTGAGTGTGCAGTCGCAGACCATTAACGGTTGTAGTTGTTAGGAAAGGCTTGCACCGTTTTCCGTTTTCTGTACAACTGCAGATCTTCAGAGACATTCAGTGATTCAGTGTTTCAGAAAAGTACTTCAATTTCAAAAACAAATCTCAGCAAAGTAAGAAAGTCCAAGATTTTGCAGAACTCCATGGAAGTTGGAAATAGATACATCTGAAGAACTTCAAAAAAGTCCATAGGCATTAAGAGAAGTCTGTAGCACTTCAGGAAGTTCGTACATTTTTAGAAAAAAAAAATTCAAAACTTCAGCAAAATTCACAAAACTTCTGGAAAGTTCGCCGATCTTTACACAACTGCAGATAAATTCTAATATTTTCAGATAATTTTTAGAGCTTTAAGGAGTTTAAAAGAATTTCAAATTAATCTGCAGAACTTTATGGGAGTCGAAGAATCCACTAAGAAATGTACAGAACTTTAGAGAAGACTCACTGATAAATCTTTAGAGTTTTATTGAGGTTCTTGGATTTTAAGTGAAATTCACAGAACTTCTGGGAAGTTCGCTGATCTTTATTGATATTTGCACAACTTCAGAAAAATTAGCAGATCTTCAGAGAACTTTCTTAAATTTCCGGAAAGCTCAAAAATTTCTAGATATTTTTTTATACTTAAGGGAATTGCGTAGATGTTCAGAGATATATACAGATATTAATTGAATCATGATAATCTACAAAGAAGATTATATAACATTCGAGAAGTTCGTAGATTATTAGACATTTAGTGAACCTTAAAGATAATTGTTGATATTTAAGGATCTTAAATCTGCATGGATTCAGGAATTTTGTAAATTTTTAGAGAAATTTGTGGATCTTCTAAAGAACACACACGACTTCTAAAAAATCTGCAGAACTACCGAGAAATTTGCAGATCTTCCGAAAAGTTTGTTGATCTTCAAAGATATTTACCAGAGAACAGAAATAAAACTTCAGAAACGTCCGAAGGTCTTCAGAGAACTATGCAGAATTGATATCTTAACAGAAATTTTCAGAACTCAAGGAATCATGTAGATCTATCGAGATCTTTTCCCACTAGCTTGTTGAAAGATGGTATCGACATCCTGGCGAAGATTTGAAATCATTTTTCGTCTTAATATCTCAGTTCTTGAAGGACAAGGTGAGCCAGATCCCTGCCGGTGTTCCTCCTGGGCAACAATTTCCTACTCCACAAAGTTCACCTTCTCCTTCTCATTTTATTTAAAATAATAAAAGCAAATATGCCTGCCAAAGCTAGAACAATTTTCCGGTAATTCATAATGGAAGCATTTACTTTTGATTCCGGATACAATTTTATTTTAAAATTTAAATTGATATTTCTCTCGACATGTGCAAGCAGTGTGAACACCAGCACATGTTCGACATGAACACCAGGTTCGGCAAAGTGTGTCGAAAGTAAAATCGAGCAGATTTTTCATTATGGCGGCGGTAAAAATCAGACCAAGAAATCAGACGTGGTGTAAACAATACACGCTGAGGCCATCTCACCCGAAATTTAATTAAAATTAACCCAAAGGGCAAAATTTTACAGCCTTTTGAAAGTGATGCAATTTAACTGTGGACACTTTTTAGTCAACACTGAGATAGCGGGGTCAGTGAGTTAACGGGAATTTCTAGATCTTAAAAAAATTCAAAATACTTGATATTTTCTAGAAGGTGATATAGTTTGAGGAAAATATATTAACTTTTTACTGTATAATTTAGTAAAAATTGTTTTAGTCTGGGTCAGATTAAATTGGGTTGCAATCAATTTCAAGTCAATTTCAACAACAAAAGCATATTCAATCTAAATTCAATTTACTTATTACTATCGCATAGTAATCAAATTTTATAACAATAAGTGATGAAAATGTAATTGTTTGTTTAATATCACTATTTTACTATTTTTTTAGATACATACCAGTTGGGGAACAGTGAGACATGCTAGTGATATGTATGCACTCAGGTCTTTTTTTACACGAGGGATATGTACTGTGTAAAAAAAAAACCTAACAGAATTTTGATTTTGCACATGCTAACATATTTTAATATTTTTTTTTTAATTTCTTTATTTACACCAGAAATTGTGATATTTTTTTTAAAGTATGCCATTTGATTACCTATGGCTTGAAACGGAAAATTTGATTAGAATCCAGTCGATAGGTTGTATCGTTATCGTGTCAAGGGGTAATCAACACTGCACATTGTGCCGAAACACATCGTGGCACACTGATCGGTGGGCCATGGCACACGATGACAAGTATGACACAAAATATAATATAAAATGACATCACTGCTTTGTGTTGACATTTTGCCAATCGTTGCTAAGGTTTACTTCTTCGTTTACTTCAAAGTAAGGGGGGAAGGGATTTTTTTTTGTCAGTGCCATTTTCCAGCGAAATTGTGCCCAATCATAATAAGAGGTTGCATAATTTACCGGACTCTCTTTGTCCTTATGCCATCTGGGGGGATGAACCTCTACAGAAAGTCCACACGGCTTTTGAGAGCTGTCCATAGTTTCAGGGAAGTCCAAACGAACTAGTCAGAGTCACCACGCCCCGCAGAATAGGCCAGAATTAACTAGAATTAAGTATTAACTCGATGGCCATTGAATCCTGACCGAGAGTCAATTGTATGGGTAAGGAGCATTGCAGCGATAATGTACGGTGTTAACAACACCCCGGTGCCGAACGATCCTACCATTCTTCAGATGTATCTGCAATTGCAGCTGTTTCTCAAGCAGAACATCCCGGTACGATTGATGGTTCACCAATCAGCTCATGTTATGGACTGAACTCGGATTAGATTGACTGTGGAGGTCTGTCTACACTCTTTTGCAACTGTTCGTATCACTGACGGCAACAACAACATTAGGAAAGATGCTGCTAACAGAACACCGGAGGTAACAGCACCAATCTGAATCGCGGTCTTAATGAACGCAATCGGAACTGGCAGCAGTTTCAGGGAGATTAATATGCGATTCCAGCATGACCAAGGATAGAAAATATGAAGGAACAACAAGGTAGTCATCAAACGAGTGCAACCAGTATCGAGTCAGACGAATTTAGTACCTAACGACGACTGCTGACACTTGGAAGCTACTGCAGGTCTATTGCTGCTACTACTACCGCCGGTGGGCATTTTAGGTCGAGTCATTCCTATTTTTCAGATTGTAGCATTGCCCGAGTAGCATGATGAAATTGCAGACAAGATTCATCTTCCACTTGCTTCGGAAAACGTCTGTCAGAATGACGCGCGGTAGAGAACTATCTTCTCCTGGATGGACAGCTTCTGCCATCAGTCGCCCTTCTCCTTCTCGTGGAGTCATAAGTGCAGGGTTGCCAAACTCATCGGTTACTGAGACTGACACTTCGGCACGTTCGGCACAATGCTTGACCTAGCTTTCGGCACAGACAAAGTCCTCGGCACAGATTGGGATGTGCAGAGTTGATCACCCCCTGTACCGTGTAAATAGTGACACAGTGGCACCAACCTTTAAAAAAAACGTGTAAAAAGACTTGAGTGTATACTTTTTGTAAGAAGGGTCAATAGTATTCTTTATTTAGAGCATTTCCAGTCCAAAACACAAACCGGTTGGACATGAGTGTTCCCGATTTGAATGAAACATAGCTCATATGTTTGCTTCTACCAATGGTTGCATTTTTCATTTAAATATGTTTTTATCTCCAGAGTAGCTTTTCAAAAGGGCGTGTTCAGAAAATTGTTTTTTTTTTTCAAAAAATCATAAAATGAAAATGATTTATCTGATCAAAGTGACATCTGAGAAAAAGTTGTAGGCTATTAAATTTTCTTAAGAAAAAAAAATACACTGAAAGAAAAAACTTAGTAATTTCATAGTGCAAAAACATAAAACGATTTTTTTAATTTTTTATTTGTTTCAAATTCAAATAAATTACATTTCATTTTAACCTAGGTGCTCAACCTACTACAGTAACTTACCAGCCTTTATTGTTATGGTATATATCTAAGTGTTTTTACATCGCTTCTGCCTTGGCAATTCAGTATTTTAAACAGGGTTTCTAAACCACCGGTGGAAACTAACGGTTTTAAATTGGCTCACACTAGACTAGCCTATTGGTCCCAAGTACATCGATTAACATACCCCATTCTAGGTGAAGTTCTAGTACTAAACTATGTTTGTTTTGATTCGCTATGAAAGTTTGACAGATAAAATGAGGGGTTTGTGGACTTTCCTATGTTTCGAGGGATGCATCGCTTTGCTTGGGACCGAAAATAGTACTAGAGCTGAGACAAACCTGCAGGTCTTAGAGTTACCTCTATGGTAGTACTATACCAGGGAGGCAACTTTAAAATCATCTTCAGAACTTTGAATCCTTTGAAGTGTTTTTTTTTTCCTGGTACTGCAACCACTAGACCATATTGGTCCGCATAAAGCATGGCCGGTCTAAAAATTTGTTTGAATAATAGAATTTCACCTTCGTGGGCCCCGAGGAAGGACAGCAGGCGCTTCTGGAGGCATTCTTATTTATATATTTGGCCGTTGATGGTGCCGGTCGTTATGTAAGGCTTGCTGAATTTGCCGCACCCACAGATCGCCTGCCACACTAAGTACTTCTTACCTTAAAGGCATGAAGTCCGTCCGTCCGTCATTGTCTGCTGAACAACCCAGACGGAAGAATTCACCTTCTTGGCCACGTCCCGAGTCGAAAGGTTCGGATTGCGCTTGAAGTAATCCCTCACCATCCATGCGCTCACGGGGTCGGTCGTCTTCGTTTTTCCTCCGCTGCCAGCTCACCGCTAGTAGGGTCTCCTTTAACGATTTTACCACACGGGACACGGTTGAATTGTCGATTACAAACTGTTTCGCGATCCACCTGTGGGACTAACCTGGATTTTCCACGACCGCTCTCATATTTTTTTTTGTCGAAGCACTTCTTGCTTGGAAGCCACCTCTACACCCATTTGCCAGATTGTGACGAGACTTTTCACAGGCAAACATTACACTCTAAACTAGTTTTACACAAAATTTCATCAATTTGTACCCATGCAATAAAATGTCATACACATGAAAGTGTTGCATTTTTTCGAGTACAATAATTTTTATATGTTGAGTTTTGGAAGCGTTGGGAGAAATCTTCCGTTTTTGTAAATAAGAAGAGATAACATTTAAACTTTTTTTTTCAATCTGCTGGAAGAAACACGAAGACTTCTTCCTTTAGCGGAAATGCCTGTGTCTTCAACGAACAAAGATTTGTGGCAACCCTGAGGCAAATCAGGGAGGTCCGAGGTGAAAATGTAATACAATATAGGCCCAAGAATGCTACCCTGAGCAACTCTTGCTCTAACAGGTAGCCGTTCAGATTTGGAATTTTGATAATTTACCTGCAGAGTTCTGTCAGTTAAATAATTTTGAACTAATTTCTTAATGTAAAGTGGAAAATTAAACATTTTCAATTTAGCAATCAAACCTTCATGCCAAACACTGTCGAATGCTTTTTCTATGTCTAGAAGAGCAACTCCAGTTGAGCGGCCTTCAGATTTGTTTGAACGAATTAAATTGGTAACTCTTAAGAGTTGATGAGTAGTTGAATGCGCGAAATCCAAACTGCTCATCTGCAAAAAATGAGTTCGTATTGATGTGAAGCATCATTCTATTTAAAATTATCTTTTCAAAAAGTTGGCTTATTGAAGAAAGCAAACTTATTGGACGATAGCTAGAAGCTTCAGCTGGATTTTTACCCGGCTTCAAAATTGGAACAACTTTTGCATTTTTCCATTTATCAGGAAAGTATGCCAAATGAAAACATCTATTAAATAATTTTACCAAGAAAGACAAGGTACTCTATGGGAGTTTTTTTTATGAGGATATAGAAAATTCCCTCATCACCTCGAGCTTTCATATTATGAAACTTTTTAGTTATAGATCTTACTTCGTCCAAATCAGTCCCCCAGGGATCATCAACAATATTTTCCCGAGAGAAAATATTCAGAAAATCCCGAGCAACCTGATTCTCCATAGGACTAGTAAGACTCAAACTGAAATTATGGGAACTCTTGAATTGCTTAGCAAGTTTCTGAGCTTTTTCCGAATTTGTGATCAAAAGTTTACCTTCTTATTGAAGTGCTGGAAAAGGCTTTTGAAGATTATTCATTTTTTTTGTGAGCTTCCGAAAGGGTTTGAAACTCGCATCTAGTTTCGACACAATTATTTTCAAGAAATTTGTTCATCAGGGCTTTTTAGTTTGTTTTTGCAAATCCCGCCAGATAACTTTCATGGAAGGATCGCGTGTTCTTTGATATTGCCTCCTACGGACCTTTTTCAGCCGGATCAAGAGTTGAAGATCATCGTCTATTATAATTGATTCGAATTTAACCTCGCATGTTGGTACTGAGACAGCTCTTGCTCTATAGAAGTAGTCAGAGATTCAAGAGCATAATTAATTTCATCTTTGGTTTGCAAAGGAATGTTTGGATCAAAGGTATGTTCCATAAATGTTCGAAATTGCTCTATGTCCCAATCAGCTCTATGGTAATTGAAAGTAGAGCTGTTGGGATTAGACATTATTTCTTGGGATATTTCAAAAGTTACTGCAAGGTGATCAGAACCGAAGTCATCATGGGTAGCCAATTGGCTACAAACACGGATACGAATTTTGTTCATATAAATCAAAAATATAAATGTTTATACTGTAAACATATGAATTATTCAACGTAATTTGAAAGTATTTCTAAACCTTCTCTATTTTGCATACAGAAATTCAAAACAAAAATTTTTATCTGCGGATTTGGACAGTTTTTGACCTGTTTCATACGACCGGAACGCTGGTCACAAATGCCGTGCCAAACTGATTTTCTACGCAATTAATCAATCTTTGATGTGAATTTCGCTAATAAACACGAGGAGCATTTCTTATAGCAAAACTTGCCATAACAAAATGGGCGGTTCATTTTAGTAAACAAACTAACACTTCTTCCGACTGTGTCACCTCTCTTACTCGCCTAGCTCCTGGTCGGACTCCAACAACACAATATCGATTATTTTCGGAATTTTTCATCTATAAAGTGTTCTCATCGATTTCGAGAGAGCGAAATTTGGATGGGAGAGGAAAATGAATAATCGTCGAAGAAATGCGAGATGAAAATATTGTAGATTTTCAGCTCTGCGAGCAGCTGAGCGATAATTTCGATGTCAGGATTCCTATGTTTAGAATGCTGGTTGGATATAAGTTGATATTTAATGTGGACTAGATTCTCTCCACAGCTCAAATCCGTGATTATTCAAACAAAGGTTGTAAACATTCTATCAAGCTCCCAAAGCAGTGGTATACTGTTTCCGAGATTACGCTATACCTAGTTGAGACTTTCATTTTTTTCCCCATAATCAAAATTGCACCTACCGTGACAAATTGCAGCTACCGACTCAACCACCGATAATAGATCTTGACATTCAAACAACCACCAATTCCGGATCGCTATCATCTGCGAACCTATACTTAACCTGTTAGGCACTGCTTCGAATCTCATTGCCAAGGTGTCAATAAAGTAATTCACCAACAAGCAACTGGCAGAGGCTCAGTAAATCATATCTGCCCCAACAACAACAACACCGGCAGTAACGCTATTATCAACCTATCCATCAATGCGAAGAGTCGATAGGTGAAATTGACACCATCGCGAACTAACCGTTTCCCTCTCGCGAGACAGATATCGCATCACAATTCCGCTGCATAAAAATGATTAACGGTTATTATTTCCTTCCACCAGCTGGCATTTCGCGCCTGTCACGGCCTGAAGGAGCGCAAAGTGCTCGAGGTCCGCCGCACGCTGCACGTGTTGGATGCGAACGATGACGCGACGGCTGCCCTGGACCGCGCAGTGCGGCAGAATCTCAAAGACACCGCGGACCGGTTTCCGATGGGCGACGTCGAGCGACAGGTTGCCAATCAGGTGAGTGAACGCGTTATCGCACAACCAATAACGGGCAGCAGCAGTACCTTCTAGTCGATTGCATATATATTATGCTCTTTTTGTTGTTTGTTTGTTTACTTGATGCTGCTGTTTGCTGTTTACGAACTTTCTTCGACTTGATCTAGGTGCTGTCAACGCTGCACGAGTATCCTTGTCTGGAGGCCTGCATCCCGCTGATCCACTACATCAGCGACTGCGTGCGGCTAGCGTGGAAGATGACCAACCAAGCGGTACCCTACTACCTGGATACGGATTTTACGCTGGGTGAGCATTAATAGATAATGTTATTAAACTTCACATCTTCACTTTTCTTACCGTGTACAGTTTTCCGAGGAAAATCGACCTCATTCTCTGAGTAACTCCACTTTTTGCTATTTTGAGTCAAGTTCGACTCAATTTTGAGTTACTCTCACTGGTGCAGTAATCCCTCTACACTGAACGAAATCATGCGACTAATTATTGTTTTGCTCGAGTCCTTTAACAATATGCTGTCGAATTTCGGGTGACTTCCTTATGGTTGAATTCGTCATCAACTGATGTGCATCCATATGACTGTCCTCCAAATAAAGGATGATATTTATTTTAAAATTGGCTGTAAAATATACACAGGGCTGGTCAATGCGATCAAGCGATCAGCGATCAATGCTGTCAAAAATAGTGATTTGTGACCATGTTGAAGAAATAAGTGACCGAATAGTGACTTATAGTTGTCAAACAGTGACTAAAAGTGACTTAAGGGAAGAAAATGAGTCTTTCTGATGGCATATCAAATAAATGTTTTATGTTTTAGACTTATTCAATTAGAATCCCATAAACACTTCAATATGTACGATACGGCTTGATATTCGATGGATCTGTGACAGTCTTTTTTTATCTTGTCCCTGAATTTATACCATCTTATATTTATCGGGGTATGGAAATGGCTTTGCTTTTGTTTTCACTAATATTTCTTTACTTCTACTAATTTCATAATTTTTGTTTCCTGCTTTAATTTTTGAATTATGTATGCTGGCTTCGCGAGCAATATTGTCTTTTGCCAAAGACATCATATCAAGAAGACTGGCAACTTTGCCAGAATCCAAGTGACAGATACAATAGCGCTGCGCTTGAGTGAAGCTGGAAGCTACGCATAGAAAAATGAGGAAATACACAACACTAATAATAGTTGTATGGTTAATTTGCTTAACGACGTGTTCAGGGTATCATCCAAACCATTTTTGGAATAGTTCAATTATTTGGGTTATCGTTCGTTTATAGTATTTTTTATTATTAGGGAAACCTTTCTTCTGAGGATGTAGTATTTGCTATCAAATTATTTCGAAGCATTTACCTTTGAGCGGCAGATGACGCGATTGTATCTGTCTCATAGCGTTCGTATGAGAAAATGGAAGTGTTGCCAGTCTTATTGATTTGTTGTCTTCGCTTTTGTTGTCATGATTGCTCGTTTTTCAGTCAAGTTTATGTCACTTAGATCCAGTGACGTCGAGGTATTAAAGATTATTTGTCTTTGTGTCAGGTTCGTTGTCGAATGTCTCGTGTCGTTGTATAGTGCTGTCACGAAAGACAGTCCTTGGTAGGGTGTCAATTCGTCAGTCATGGAATCTTTCGATGATGCCATTACTGTTGCTACTACTAGCATAGTGAGTAGTATTTAATGTGGGTTTCTATTAACTCCTCCGACGTTTCATTGCAAATTTTATCAATCGAACTCGAATTTTATAAACGAGTCGACAAGTGTAAGAAATTTTTCGTTTTCCTTTAAATATACGTCTATGAAGACGTTTTCTAATGGTTTTTCGTAAACTCGTCGAGTTATTTCAATCTTAAATGATTTTCGCTCATATTTAGAAAATTTACAATCTTCGCAAGTTTTCGCAAAGTTTTTGATTTTTGAAATCATTCCGGGAAAGAACACTGACTTTTGTGCTTCTTCATATGAGAGTCTCCAACTTCTGTGATTAAATTTGTGGCGCTTCTTAATGAAGTCAATTTGTTCTTGCTCAGAAATGACATCAGGGAGCATATGGTTGCAGAAATTTACTTTCATGCCGGGATTGAAATGGTTTTCTAGGATATTTTTGCAGGCTAGGACAATTTGAATTGGGGCAAATATTCCGTTACTTCTACCTGGAACTAGGCAGTTGAAATCAAACTGTTCTAAATACAATCTCTGGCGAGTAAGACATTTTCGTATTACCGGTTTATAATAATGGATTTGTCTTTACCACGGATCATGCAGGGCATAGGTTTTGCTATTTAGCAAACCCTGGAATAAACCTTCTATAATATCAAATTGTTCCAAGGAAGGACTTAAGTTCTTTGGGTGTCTTCGGAATAGGCCAATTTTCTACTGCCTCAACCTTCTTCGGATTGGATTTAACCCCATTGGTCGTAACTACGTGCCCAAGGATTTAAAAAATTTGGACTTGTCACTTTGAACTTTCAAATTGGCATCTCTCAACGTCTGTAAAACTTTCTGAATGTCTTGGAGATGTGCTTCCAAAGAGCAGAAAAAAAGTAGAAGGGTCTGTGCCTAGGGGCACGAACGGAAGCTTGACGCAGGACCGCTAGTGGACGGAATAAATGTGAAGAACATTTAGTTCTTTTAATTGATCAATTATCTATTATCTCAACTCTTTCCGTTTTTGAATTGTAGGCGTACCACATTTGTAGTATTTTTTTCAAAGAGAAAGTTGATTAAGAGAATCAATCAAAATCACTTGCACCCCTGCTTCCAAGTTTTGTTACAAGATTACAACTCTGGAGAGCATTTTGTGTGGTCGTTGGGGGCTTGTGGTTCTGAATATGGACAAACAAGCACAGATACATTCTATTCCAACTCTTTACTGATGTAAGCTTGATGGCCGTTTTATTGAAGAGGACATCCATGGCCGCTTACGCTTGGCGTGTTTAGTGTAGGTGACAGCATCACGGACCTCATTTTCCAGGAACACCTTCAGCACACCTCGTATATCAGACCGGAGATACGTTTGACACCACCACGGCGAGCCAGACGACCGATGGCGGTTATCTCGAAGAACTTTGCGATGACGCTTGGCACCTCCTTTACCAGACCTTTTCCTCCTTTGCCACGACCAGTCAATTGTTGCTTGTTAGGTGTGAAGGAGTGGACTAGCCACCACCTTCCTACTGGTGCTGCTGTTCACCACGCCGTCCGAAGCGAAAATGAGCTAATGCCATAAAGCAGCGCTCTATTATATCTTTTCAGGTTAAAGCAGAATGATGTGCAACCAAGTGGTATAAAAGCTACAATGACTTCTCCCATTATGAGTAGTTTGCTATCAAGAAGCGACACTGGCTCTTTTCCTTTTGCGTACACGGCGAATGAGAACGAGCCAAATTTGAGTTTAATTCACTCATAATCGCCAAAAATGCAAGAACTCAGCGATGAGTAAATTTGTCTCATGGTTTCCTGTGGGAAACCTAAAAAATCTGCCAGAAAATGAGGAAATTAACGAAAATTTAATTCAGTCACGGAGAAGTACCGATAGACTGAACGAATCCAATCTTTACTTTTATCAAATTCAGGAATTTTTCCCTGGAAAATCCTGGAAAAACCTGGGAAAACATGAGGCAAATTTACTCATCGCTGAGTTGCTGCACTTTATTTCTTATTTCTGAGATAACTAAACTCAAATTTGGGTCGATCTTTCACCTTGAAAGATATCGGCGCCGGTGGTTAGCGTGATTACCTCTCACCCAAGCAGGCCTGGGTCCCATCTCAGTCGGTGCCACCGGCATGTTCTAAGGCATAACATCTCTGATCACGCCTTCCTTCGGGAAGTAAAGCCTTTGGTCCCCGGTTGTGTTGATGGGTCGATTGGTAGGGTCCAGGTGTGGGAACTGCCTCCCTGGCGTCGGTAGCATTGGAGCTCAGTACGGAAAACAAATCTCGCGTCAGTTTTCAATAGGTCCTATCTACATTGATCGATTCTCTTCATCGACACTCTCTTTCGTTAATAACTCGGCTTCACAAATGTTTCCTGCCGTCTTCGTCGTATTAGATGCTAGATTGTTGCTTCTTCCATCGAAAATATCCGGCCGTGGCGATTCAAAGTTGATCAAGGTTGATCAAAATAATTTGTACCCCTGCTTCCAGTTTGATTTCATGAGCATTTTGTGTGGTCGTTGGTTCTGAATATGAACAAACAGGCAGATGAATTCTATTCGTACTCTTTACTGTAATAAGCTTGGTGGCCCTGAAAAGAGCCGTTTTGTTGCCAAAGTCGGTGATGATTTAACCTCCGAAACCAAACAGAGTGCGTCTCTGTCACTTCAAAACGTAGATGACATCCATGGCCGCTTACGCTTGGCGTGTTTAGTGTAGGTGACAGCATCACGGATCTCATTTTTCAGAAACACCTTCAGCACACCTCGTAAATCAGACCGGAGATACGTCAGACACCGCCACGGCGAGCCAGACGATGGATGGTGGTTATCTTGAAGAATTTGCGTTTGGTTCTGAATATGGCGATGAGTGTGCAAAATATTACGCAATTCCATCCTGCCTATTCGCACGCGCCCGAGGATCGGAGGCGAATGCCACTTCGACTTGTTTCGGCTACTTACTACTCTCTGACGACTGTGCTGGGGAAGCAGCATATGCATGTAGGTAATTGGTGGATTTGTTAGTTAATTCGACGCTTTTGGACAATGCTGGACATTTACCAATTTTTCAATAGTTTCTTGTTGAAAATCAACATTCTCAAGCATTGTTATAGATGCGTAGCCATATTTCTGATGGATTGGTGATAAAATTATTGAGATTGGACCAGGAGCAGCTGAGTTATTTACGTTCAAAATCTTTCTTAATTTGTTACATGTTCCATTTTTGGTTTTCACAAAGTGTACCCCCATATAGAAATCAAAGACGTAGTCCTACGTCAAAATATTATGATGTCGTTCATATAGACAAAACATCTAATATTCAGATGCTTGCGAAGCACGGAGTCCATTAGTCTCTGGAAGGTGGCTGGTGCGTTTTTGAGCCCAAAAGGCATTCAAACAAATTCGAATTTACCTCCGTCAACATTGAAGGGTGTCTTAGGGATGTCTTTTGGATCAATCTAGATTTAGTGGAAACCACTGGCGAGTTCTAGGATGGTTAAGTATTGCGCCTTACCCAATCTATCCAGAATTTCACTAATTTATGGGATTGGGTATCGATATGCGGGAGTCTTCTCGTTGAGCCTCGTGTAGTTGATAACAATTCTATACTTTTGCTTTCCAGAATTGTCCATTTT